TTGAGTTCACCTATGTGCAGTTAAAATGGCACCTGATCTTAAACACAAAAACAAAAATGTATTACATTTCAGCTCACCAGTGTTTAGATGTCATGGCTGCATTGGTTTTATTTTTTTAGATTCCTTTTCCTTTATTTTCACCCAGTGATCCAGCCAGTAAGTCTGTTGATTTTCAACTTACTTTAAAACAAACAAAGCTATCCAGCCAAAATAGCTATTAAAGAATAAAGAATTTAACACTCACAGGGGTACTTGCAATGGCTAGCTTTTATTCATTTTATGTAAAACTTTTATCCCAAAAGGAAAAATAAACTGTTTGCTGTAACTGATTTTAAGTGTTAGCTAGAGCTTATCTCCAGTTTGTTAGTCACACCCATCTAAATCTGCTAGTTTGACACTAATTCCTCACCCCCCCCCCCCCCCCCCCCCCCCCCAACTGATAATGCTGCTGTCTAAAGGTGTCTACTTTATCCAGAATGCAAACACCCTAAGACAAGAATTGTGTTACTGGCTGGATCACGAAGTGAATTAAAGGAAAAAGAAAACAAATGCAGTAATCACGTCTAGGGAGTGGTAAGCTGCAATACATTACAGTTTTGTTTTGGGGTTTAATACAGCTTTAAAATAAATACACGTATCTAGAAGCTAAAATATATTCTCTAATTCTGTAGACAGACAAAGATGAAGAGGATGCCCTAGAACAGTGGTTCTCAACCTTCCTAATGCCGTGACCCTTTAATACAGTTCCTCATGTTGTGGTGACCCCCAACCATAAAATTATTTACCCAGTAATTATAATTCATGAAGTGTCGTTTTACCTCCAATACTGCTGCTTTCAACACAGTAGCTGCTTTTAACAGAGTAGCTGCTTTCAACACAGCAGCTGATTTCTACACAGTAGCTGCTCTTTACACATCGGAAATATGTGTTTTCTGATGGTCTTAGGGGACCCCTGTGAAAGGGTCGTTCGACCCCCAAAGGGGTCGCGACCCACAGGTTGAGAACCACTGCCCTAGAAAGACAATATCCCTAAACATACAACTGAAGATGACATTAGATTGAAACCAAGATAATTAATATTTTGGAATGACCTACTCAGAGCATAAAGCCTCACCAACATTGCAATTTCTAGATGTGCAAAATTGCTAAAGATATTACTAAAAAGACTTGGAGCTGTAATTGAAGTTGAATGTAGCTCTGCCAAGTTAGGGTTTGGAAGAGGGAATATCCAAAATGTGTTTAACGTTTATCTATAACCAAAACTTTTTTTTTTTTCAGTTCTGGGTTGTCCCCAGGACAAAGAGTGAAGGGAATATGCTCTACCAGCAGCACAGGCAGAAGTAGGGAGGTACATAGGGGAGAGCTAGAACCTCTGTTAGCTTTTTAGTCTGCTTTCTTGTTGGAGATTTTCCCTAATTTCCTGCCTGGTAAAGTTTATCGCCAGAATATAAAGTGAGAGAAAATCTCTCTAACCAGTCCTAGATAGCAGTAATGTAACAAAAATTTAAATTGAAGTACCACATCACTGTGGAGACACAACTTTGGGGGTTTGGGGAGGTCCAAGAGCACAGCAGTTTGAATGAATTAGAAGTGATCTGTACCCTTAACCCTTTTGCTGCCATATACGTAAGGTGTACAGACCTACAGCAATTGTTCCTGCTGGCCAGGTCTGTACTCCATACAGACCTGATTTCTCCTTCTGCTATAAGCTCATGGTTACAATGAACTTATAGCAGAACTGTTCAGCAAACACTGCTGAACAAAACAATAGCTCTGATCGGCATATGACAATTCTCTGAGCAGAGCTATTCACCTACAATATGACCCACTGCCACTGCCTGCCTGTCACCTACTGCTCTCTGTCCCTCCACCTAACCTGCTGCCCTGGCCATCAAAATTTCCCCACGTCCTGCCACTGATTCCCCCCCAAGGACCTATCTCACCCCCAGCACCAGTGCTCAAAAATGTAAAATATATTAATGCCCCTGCTGTGACCCCCCTCCCTTCAGTGTCTCCTCCTCCTCACAGATCCCCAGTGGCCCCGTCCATTCAGCTCTTCTTTCTGGCTCTCTCTTTACCCTCTCCCGCCGACTGCAGCTGCTGCCCAGGAGATCGGTGAGTGTTAGGATGGAGAGCAAGGGGGCTGGTAACCATGTGTTTATCAGCCCCCTTTCTTTCCTGAATGAACAGAGTGATGGGTACCAATCTCCTCTGTTCATTTATTACTGAAGTGTTAAACACTGTTTACTATATTTCAGTTTGTGAATGAATCGGAGTCTCTATGAAGACTCCTATCTCATTCACCTACAGTGCAGTTCAGACTGCAGAAAAAGGGACTGTCTTCAGTTCCTTTCTCTGTCTCAAAAAAGAGACATTAGGGGTCTGTTTTGATCCTTAATGTCTCTCCAAAGCCCCCCCCTTTCAAAAACATATCTCTAAAAAAAATATATAGAAAAGAAAAAAGTGTGCCTGTTAAGAAAAAGAGAAAAAAACAAACAAACATAGTAACACCTTTGTCACATGGGTGGACCGATTGGGTTCGCCTGTCATTTTTTTAGTCAGACCCAATCAGACACTCCATTATCCTCTATGGAGCAGCAGATGCAAACAGACTTATGTCCGTTTACACCCGCCTCCATCCAATCCAATCCATATAACAGATTGGATGGCAGTCAGATGTAATCAGACAGTCCATTTAGATCCCACCGCCCCAGAGGATAGCAGGGATCAGGAGACAGATTCCCCACTAAGCAAGCGTGTGGAAGGGGCCTAAGGGTAGATTTCGACATGCATCTAAGTCTCCCTTGCCTCCAACCCCTGATCCACATTAAGTTCACGCTCCAGTAGCTACTTCCTCACCTCCTGTTTTAACACCATTTTTGCTGACAAATGAGCCACAACCCACGTGTATTGCACATGGTTGTGGGGCATTTGTGGCACTTCCCCATTGACTTGAATGTGTAGTGCTCGGTCGGTGCAAAGCAACTTTACCGTGGGCTAAAAGCAATGCATTGCAGCCGCAGCATGATGGTAGGTGGATGGTAGCTCAACAGCACATTTATGCCACCCCTTAACTGCAAATCTAAACCAGACCTAGAGCCTCATTCACGCGGGGCATACTACAATGAGGCTGTGCTTAGCTGGACAGCAAAGCACAAGTGTTCCATGCATCCCCATGCAGGCTGTCCCATCGATGTCAGTTAGGACACAGTGGCTGCAGCGTAATGCACAGGTGCTCCATGCATTCCCGTGCAGGCAGTCCCATTCATGTCAGTTGGGACACAGCGGCTGCATGGACACAGCCACTGCTACCAACTTGACATCTATGTGGGTGTATGCTCCTGAACTCACACTGTCTCTGTTTAGGGCTATGCACCTACACTTGCACGGATGTCAGATCTGTCCTTGCAGCCACTGCAATCCAATTGACATGAATGGGACTGCCTTCACAGGGATGCACAGAGCAACTGTGCGGATAAACACAGCCCTTCATAGAGCCCTCTATGGGTGTAGACTTTAGTACACCCCATGTGAATGAGGCCTTAGTAGGAATTTAGCAGGAATTTTGTAAGTTATGTTGTGTTTATATATGCTAAGTATTTTTTTTTTAGTTAAAACAGTGATTTGATAAACATTTGCGTTGCGCCACTACTGTGGGGCCTAAAAAAAAACAAGAACGCAAGAAGGCACTATTTAAAATTTACAAATATTTGTTATTTATTAACTCAATACAGGTTAAGTGTTTATATTTAGTAGGAATTTTGTCAAATTTGCTGTGTTGTATCTGCTAATAATGATTTTTGTGTATCTTTAGCAAAAATATTGATCTGATAAACATTTGCGCAATTATCACAGGGCCTTAAAAATCAGTAGCAGTTTTACTGGTCATGTGCTTTCAGAAAATGTATGATTTGGGGGATGTTTTACAAACTCTGAAAACTGTAAGTGAAAAACGAAAACCTCCAGTTTACAGTGGTTATTTACAGTTTTTCGTATGTTTGATTTTCCACCATTTCGCAAAAAGTTGCAATTTACAATTTCCAAATATTTGGTATTAACTCAATAAAGGTTAAGCTTTTATATTCAGTAGTAATTTAGCAATTTTTTAATTTAGTAAATTTTTAAAGAAAATTTTCTTTGTTTCCCCTAATTTTAGTATATTTTTAGTGAAAATCTTGCTTTGATAACCATTTGCACAAATGTCATGGGGCCCAAAAATCAGTAGCATCTTCTCTTTATTCTACTATTCATGTAGTTTCAGAAAATATACCGTTTGGGGGGTCTTTTACAAACTCTGAAAGCTGTAAAAGAAAAATAAAAAAGCAATGAACAAGTTGCAAAAATGATCCGGCCAGCTGAGTTTAAAAGTGGAGTGCAGAACCTGGCAGCGAAAGGGTTAATGTTATTTTTTCCTAGTGTGATTACTAGCACAGGCCTTGTTAGTAGCTTGTTTGGCAGCCCAGTTTTCACATGTTCCTCTGGCTTCTTTTTTTTTTTTTATATAGAGTTTGTATGTAGACTTCCTAGCAGTGGTGTGTTGCTTCAATTTCAATTTTTGTTGCATAACACCACAAGCCATTGAGACCATGGAGATTCCCTGGGGTGTAGAAGCTGCCTTCCTGGGAGCCAGATAATCTATATTAACATCAATACTTTAAGGTAGCAATACCAGTGAGATAATGCTACTGGTCCAGGTCTATTTTTGCAGTTTCCTCAACTAGATTGGTGCCAAACATTTACAGATTGCCTAAGCAACTATTTTACCTAAAGTGCTGTTCTAAACATATTCTTTGTTTTGTTTGTTTGCAATTTCTGTTCGTGAAATTTATCAACATAGTTTATTTAAGGTACTCTTTTGTGGTGCTACAATCTTATTCACTTTTTATTTTGCAATATCACATTTTACACCTATGGAAAATGATTGATTAATATTTAGAAGCAATTGGATGAGTATTTGCTGGGTGCTTCTAATAAATTGAACTGTATTTTTTGCATTGCAGAACTGGCTGGAAAAGAAGAAATTGTTTCTTCAAGAAGTGCATAAAATAAAAATGGCTGAGGAGGAACAAAAGAAAGAAAAAATAAAACTGGTACATTTGCATAATACATTGTTGTTAATAAATATACTGTCTACCTGTATGGCAAGATTTTATGGTGCAATATGTGTTTTGCTGTACATTTCTGTATCTGTATTATGTTTACAAAGATGTTGACGATAGACCAACACAAATCGGCACATAGTTGTGAAGTGGAAGGAAAATGATAAATGGTTTTCAAAATTTTTTACAAATAAATATCTGAACAGTGTGTTGCGCATTTATATTCAGCCCCCTTTATTCTGATACCCATAACTAAAATCTAGTGGAACCAATTGCCTTCAAAAGTCACCTAAGTAGTAAATAGAGTCCACCTGTATGTAATTTAATATCAGTATAAATACTGCTGTTCTGTCAAGCCCTCAGAGGTTTTGTTAGAGAACAGTAGTGAACAAACAGCATCATGAAGGCCAAGGAACACATCAGACAGGTCAGGGATAAAGTTGTGGAGAAGTTTAAAGCAGTGTTCGGTTATAAAAAAAAAATATTCTAAGCTTTTAATATCTCACCGAGCACTGTTCAATCCATCATCTGAAAATAGAGTATGGTACAACTGCAAACCTACCAAGACATGGCCGTCCACCTAAACTTACAGGCTAGGCAAGGAGAGCATTAATCAGAGAAGCACTCAAGAGGCCTATGGTAACTCTGGAGGAGCTGCAGAGATCCCCAGCTCTGTTGGGAGAATCTGTCCACAGGGCAACTATTAGTAATGCACTCCACAAATCTGGTCTTTATGGAAGAGTGGCAAGAAGAAAGCCATTGTTGAAAGAAAGCCATAAGAAGTCCCGTTTGCAGTTTGCGAGAAACCATGTGGGGACACAGCAAACATTTGGAAGAAGGTGCTCTAGTCACATGAGACCAAAATTTAACTTTTTGGCCTAAAAGCAAAATGTTATGTGGTGGGGAAAACTACACTGCACATTCGCCTGAACTCGCCTTCCCCACCGTGAAATATGGTGGTTGCAGCATCATGTTGTGGGGGATACATTTCTTCAGCAGGAACAGGGAAGCTGGTCAGAGTTGATGGGAAGATGAATGGAGCCAAATACAGAGCAATCTTAAAAGAAAACCTGTTAGTCTGCAAAAGACTTGCCTGGGGTGAAGCTTCACCTTCTAGCAGGACAAGGACCCTAAACATACAACCAGAGCTACAATGGAATGGTTTAGATCAAAGCATGTTCACGTGTTAGAATGGCCCAGTCAAAGTCCAGACCTAAATCCAATTGAGAATCTGAGGCAAGATTTGAAAATTGCTGTTCACAGACGCTCTCCATCCAATCTGACAGAGCTTGAGCTATTTTGCAAAGAAGAACAGGCAAAAATTTCACTCTCTAAATGTGCAAAACGGGTAGAGACATCCTCAAAAAGACTTGTAGCTGTAATTGCAGTGAAAGATGGTTCTACAAAGTATTGGGGGGCTGAATACAAATGCACATCATACTTTTCAGAAATTTATTTGTAAAAAAAAGTTTGAAAACCATTTATCATTTTTCTTCCACTTCACAATTATGTGCCACTTTGTGTTGGCCTATCACATAAAATCCCAATAAAAAACATTTACGTTTTTGGTTGTAACATGACTAAACGTGGACAATTTCAAGGTGTATGAATACTTTTTCAAGGCAGTGTAATTACTATTCACTGAAAAGTGCTTATTCTAGGCTGGAAATATAGCATTGGGTTTTTGTTCTGTTTCCTGACTCACATTATGAAGCACAGCACAATCAACTGAGATTTCAAAGGTTGGTCTAGTCGACTGATTTTTTTCTTGTAAATTATGGCATGCTTTTCAACAGAGATTTATGGAAACAGGTTTTTAATAATTAAAGAACCTGGGGAATCTATTTTGTAAGACTTGAGACGTATCCTTATATTGATAGTTAAATCACCCAAAAAAATTAGAATCAAGTCTCTGGGAGAGAACTAATGGAATGAGATGTTTTTGGGGGAGTTTTCAATTTTCTAATTCAAAATCATGGGGGCTCAAATCAATCAGCACATTGTGCAATGGTAGTGTTCATGCCAGGGGAGTGGCCATCAATGGAGCTGTAGAGATGCAACCTGATGGAGCTTTGTGTTTTACACTATCTTTCAGTAGAACAAAGTGAGCATAGCAGCCATTTCTTCACATATCTAAAAAACAACATGGAACAACATGAAAGCAGAAACAGTAATCCTTAGATTAATACTTTGACTCGGAAAGTGCTTAAACCTCTACACAGGCTGCAATCACTATAGCGACTGCACTCTATAACTCTTCACTACATGCCCAACCCAAAGAAAGGAAGGAAGCCACCAGCCAATCATAAGACTCCACTTACCTTGATGTCAGACTGCTGTCTGGCAGTACTCCACACTCTGTTCCACCCTCCTTTGCAAGCTGACACCTCAGTCTCTACACCAAGAGTGATATAGAGAAAAATTGGCAATTTGAATTGAAGGTGTCTTGAGTGAGGAAGTGGAAGAAATAAGAGATACAATCACTCTACTCTAGGGTGTCCTCACTGGAAGTACAGAAACTCACCCTGGAAGGCACCTATCTACTATAGAAGAAAGGTTGCAAGCCCTGAAGCCACCTATCTCCTACCGAAGAAAAAGATTTCTTTCCTGCAGTTAAAAGTTTGTGACGGGACAGACCGCAGAAAAATTTATAATATCATGCTGTGGGGAATCCCGAAAGCTACCTAAGGGCTGGAATTGATTTCCTTTTTAATGGCAATCCATAACTCTCTCACCTAGTATTTCCTTGAAAATATTAAATGTACACTTCTCAACTACTGCCTAGCTGAATTTTTGCTGTTCTGGATGAGGCGGTTCGATTGCTTTCCGAGTTAGCTATATTAGGCCTAAATAAGACCCACCATGCACACATGATTAGAAATCTGAGAACTGTACTCTGTCTCATTCTCTGAGCGTTCTGCTTGTCCTTGGTTTGTTCTGGCACACAACTAGTCTGAGCAGTCAGTAGGGAAGTTAGTTTCCTGGTAGAGCATTACTTAGGTTGGTCTGTGTGTGGTGTGCTGAGGCTAAGAAGACAGGATGGTTTGAGCAGAGCTGGTATACAGTGGGCAGAGCAGGGTGGAGTTTTGATAAGATATGCAGGAAGTTCCTGCTCAATTAGACTACTACCGCTCACTATTCCTTGGATGATGAGTGAGGAGCTTCTAGTGTGTAGTCCCTTGGAAAAGGATTTGCTGTTTCTGAACCTCTAAACAGTGACTTTGATTATGGATCTCAAAAGCAGGATGCATTCAGCAGATAAATGGATAGTAGATTTTTCTTGTGTACCCTTCTGCCTATCGTAGTGATGAAGGTTTTACATTTAAAGCCCAGCAGACAAGGACCTAGAGGTTCTTCTACAAATATTTAAATAAACCTGGTAGAGCAGGGGTGTTAAATACAATTTCATCATGGGCCGCATCTGCATTATGGTTGCCCTCAAAGGGACGGTTGTATCTGTAAGATTAGATGTTCAGAGCACTCCACTCCCCCTTACCTCAGAGCCTCTCCACCACCAAAGAGTTCCCCACCTTTCCTTACATCACAGTTCATCACCCCGCTTACCTTGTGCTGCTGCCAGGAAGAGGAAGGCTGGAGTCATCTGCCAGAGTCTGCTGAATGCTGAGAACAGGGGAGGCAGAGATGAGGGGGTGCTGCAGCTGCACAGAGAGGTGCAGCATCTGTAGGAAATCTGTCCTCTCTGCTGCCAACTGCTGAAATGGGGTGGAGGGCACAGACAAGCGCAGGATCTGTTGCAGGAGTTCTGTCCTCCTCTATGCTTCCAATTGCTGAGAAAAACTGGGGGCATAGACAAGGGGGTGCTGCAGCTGCAGGAGAGGTGCAAGGGCCACATGAAATGGGTTGGATTTGGCCCACAGGCCTTGTGTTTGACACGTGTGGTAGAGCCTTAGCTAGAACCCTGAGCGAGACACAACTTCGGTTGTTCTTCCCACAAATTGACAAGGTACTATGGGAAACAAAACCAAATATATTTTGCATGTTTTCAGGACTATTACATATTGCTTTATAACCTATCCTCTGTGCCTGATTCGGGAACAACCACACCTGTTTCACAACACATGCTCCAATCTCTGGCTTTTGGAGACATCTTTCGTTTAGACCCCATTCATAGTTTTGTATTTTATCACCACTTGTGTTGATTTTTTTGGCACACTTTAGTAATACACAATATGCATCTTTTTATGTAGCTTCATGTGTTATGCGGCCAATCAAGTGAAAATATATGAAATGGCCATAAAATGCATGTATTAAAATACAATTAAATATGTAATATTATATGAACCCTATTATGAAAATAAAGAATAGAATGGGACTCTATACATTTAAGTTAAAAATTATCATTTACATAAGTGCCACATACGGTAAGTACGGTAATTTTCTGTGCGCAGCTGCAACCATATTAAGTTTAACCTGGATAACTGCGGTAAGGAAAAGCTAACAGTCAACTTTTTGGGGATCTCTTTCAGCTTTCTACAAGGTGCTACTAAAGTTATTTATTGTGATGTGAGAATATAAGGTGTATATATGTAAATATATATTTATATTGTTGTAAAATATGAAAGGCATACTGTATGTATTAGTGTCACATATTTTTTAACTATTTCAGTGGAAAGGATAAAGACTTGGACAATTAGGAATCTTTCACTATAAAAGTTACAGTAGCAGTCACTAATATACATGTAGGGAGGGCAAATAGAAATGGAAGGATCTTATTGAAATGGATGAAAAGGAATAAAATGAGTGAATTGAACCTGAGGCTGACAATCTTGCTGAAGTTATTATTTTTCCATGCAAATCTGCTGAAAGTACTGTCATTTACGCGATTTTGGTTATAATGGCTTCTGGCAGCGTAACATTAGCCATCGCATGATATCTAGCTTTAGAGGAAGGCCAAGAAGTCAACATAAACACGTAGAATTAATTTAGTGTAAGTCCTGTCAACTTTAACTGAATACCCCCAGCAATGTACTAAAATGCTAGAGGGCCAGTTGTGCAGCTGTTACAATAAACCCAATAATTTTGTGTTTGCAGCAGGATACCATGAAGAAAGAGGAGGCCATGGCTGCTTTCATGGCCTGGAAATCAGAAAAGAAAAAGGAAATAAATGAAATTCAAGTGAAGAAAAAACTGGAAGAAAAGAAAAAGATGGAGGAATTTCAAGATATTGCACGCAGAAAAGAGGAGTGCAGAAAGGTATTAACATTATAGGCTGGTTATTGTTTAATAAAACACATTTGACAATTATATGTATTATATAATAATGATCTTCTTAATAAGAGTACCAGGTTGGGCCACTCTGTCCCACACATACAGCCAAATAATGCAGTATATTGTCCTAGTAATCTACATTGTTACTGTGATTTCTGTTGACAATAAGGGCCTAATGTAGGATTTCTTATATCCAACCACCTTAATCCAGTCATCCATGTACATTAGGTTTTTTTTTTTTTTTTTTTGTTTTTTAACAGTGCTGGTAAGACAGCCCACAGTAATGAGTTCAATCAATCAGTGCATGTCTGTATGCTATATCCAGAGTGTGTAAATGCTTTACTAGAAATAGATTAGCAGGAATGCGATTATTGTATCCATCACTTAAAGCACACCTTCACTGAGGGTAGCAGCTTCTGCCCTGATGCTAATGAAGTGGGAAAGTTTGCTGCTGCTTCCTCTACTCCTGTCTAGAATCTACCAAGTAAAACCTATGCCAGCCTTGTGAATAACACAAAAAATGTTTTCCAGGCTTTTGAAAAGTGGAAAGAGTCAAAAGAAGATCATTTGAAAGAAAAAGTTCTTAAAGAAAAAAGTCTTGAAATGGAAAAAAAGGTGAATGAGAAAAAAATTGTCATGGAGAAAAAGAAGAACAGTGTGTCTGCTTTTAAAACATGGTAAGAGTACTTACTATATGATAATCGCTTACAAATAATTACGGTATAGTACACAGTTGTGTTTGTTCTATGCAGTTTTAGCCTTAGGTCTGGTGTACAGAACTTGAAGGATCTTGAGTTTGTTACCATGTCAAGAGTGTTTACTTCATGTACAGTATAAAGTTTCAAAATATTCTTAGTTTAACAGCTCACTGCAGGCAAGCATGAAAAGCTGACATTTGAATAGGCACAGGGGACATAGCCTACCTGCATGGTGCCTCTAATATTCATCCAAGCATCAGTAGGCTGTCCTGCCCTGTAAGTCCCTATAGTTGTCAGTAGCATAACCTCCTGGGTCTCCCTGAGCCTGAAAGCATGTATTCTTAGGAGTCCTGAGTTCCCAACTGTGGGTGACATGTTTTTTTTATACATGTCCAGTCAGACTCTGCGTTCCCCTGGGATAGCCCATTCTAATTAGACCTATGGTTTATTTAGAAAGAAATGACAGACAGAAAGCTGCAGTTCATCATCCAAGCCCTGCCTTCTGACTAGTTTCCATGCATTACTTTCCTTAAAGCTGAACTCTAGGCAGATAAAAGGGACCCAAATTAATGCAGCTATCTATTAATTTTGTACATCATTGTATGTGTTTTTATTTCATGCAAGTAGTGAATGTACCTGCATTTTGACTTGGTAAAAGCCTCTTGCAGTCCCTGCACAGCAGAACTCGAAGTGAGAAAGGGAGAAGCAGCACAAGAAGATAGAGTTCATGTGGTGACAAGGAACATGCTGACTGGAGGAGAATTCAGAGTGACAGAAAATTAGTTAATTGCTCTGCTGCTTCTGCTTCATTATCCATTTGAAGTCTGGATGCTGGTCCATGACGGCCTGGACTAAGTGAGTTGAATGAAGTGGTCAGTCATTCAACCCACAAGTAGAAGAAAGATGTGTTGCATTGAAACTCCTAAAGAACAATCATTCCCTCTATACTGCTTTAACTGTGCTGCTGACTGAGAGCACCTACTGCTTTAAGTATTCCAGCAGCTCACACCTTTCTTCTACTTCTGAGTTGAATGACAGCATTATTCAACTCACTTTCACTTAGGTTATGGGCCTTTAAATAGATGGTGAAGGAGAAGCAGCCCAGTGGTGAGTTCATTTCTCTGTTGCTTTTTCTGGCACTTTACTATTTGCAGATTCAGTCGTTCAACCCAGAAGACAAGAGGACATCTAGTGGCAGCAGATCACGGGTGCAATGTCACGCTCCTACAGACTCATACAGGCAGATAGTTACTTGAGTTAAAAGGTCAATGAACCGCGAGCGTGCTCATCAGCATCCTCGCAGTTTATGGAGAACTGCAAGCCATGTGTCGCAGTGGCAGCTGATTTTTTTTTATTTTTTTTTTTTAGATCTATTAACGGGCTGTTCATTTTTTAAACAGGTAATCCGATTTCACTCTTATAACCACCTCCCGCCCGCCATATAGTCCAATGACGGGCACAAGGTGGTTCTCTTGTTCTGGGAGGATGTCATATGACATCCTCCCATTCTCACCGCGCATGCGTGGCTCAGGGAGCGCGCAGCGATCAGCGAGGGACACAGCGGATCACCCATCACGGAAAGAGCCGAAAATGTCGGCTCGGTCATGTGATCAGCTATGTCCAATCACAGCTGATCACATGTAAACAGAGAAATGGCGGTTATCGGCATTTCTCTCCTCTCGAGCTGTCACGCTGACAGCTCGAGAGGAGAGGAGAGCCGGTAATCGGCTTTCCGCGGAGGGGACATGTACACTGGTCATCAGGGCACTGATGATCAGTGTAGACCCAGCAGTGCCACCTGTCAGTGTCCATCAGTGCCTTGTGTCAGTGCTCATCAGTGCCTCGTGCCAGTGCCCATCAGTGCCACATATCAATGCCTACCAGTGCACATCAATGCCACATATCAGTGCCCATCTGAGCTGCCTTTCAGTGTCACCCATCAGTGCCAGTCAGTGCCACCTATCAATGCCAATCAGTGCCACCTATCAGTGCTGCCTATCAGTGCTGCCTAACAGTGCCAGTCATTTCCGCCTATCAGTGCCAGTCAGTGCCGCCTGTCAGTGCTGCCTATCAGTGCCATGTATCAGTGCTGCCTTTCAGTGCCCATCAGTGATGCCTGTCAATGCCCATCAGTGCCACCTACCAGTGCTTCCTCATCAGTGCCACCTATCAGTGTCCATCAGTGCAGCCTATCAGTGCCCACCACTGCAGCCTCATTAGCGCATATCAATGAAGGAGAAAAATCACTTATTTGCAAAATTTTATAACAAAAACTAAGAAAAAACTTTTTTTTTTCAAAATTTTCAGTGGTTTTTGGTTTGTTTAAGAAAAAATAAAAAACCCAGAGGTGATTAAATACCACCAAAAGAAAACTCTATCTGTCAAAAAAAAATAATAAAAATTTCATATGGGTACAGTGTTGTATGACCGCGCAATTGTCATTCAAAGTGCGACAGCGCTGAAAGCTGGAAATTGGCCTGGGCAGGAAGGGGGTATAAGTGCCTTGTAGGTTAGCGGTTAAACAAATGCCCATATTCTTTAATATGAAAGTTACAGTAGTCTTTGTATTATTGTAGTTGTTATTGTGCAAGATTATGGAAGGATGTCTGACAACTTTGCTAATGTGCTAACGTAGGAATGAAAGAAAAGAACTTGTGCTGAAGGAAAAGAAAAAAGAAAAAAAAAGGATGAGACACAAAAATTGGAGAAAGTAAAATCAGAGCAAAAAGAGAAGGAGCAAAGGGCTTTAGAACTATATGAGGAATGGCTGGTAAGTAGTATGATGTCACTGAAACTTGATGTGTTATTCCCTTGTATAAATGATTCCTCAAACACTATTTTTAGCTAAATATACTGTAATTACCAGAAAATAAATATTGTAAAAACTATTAGTTTTGACCATAATAAATAAAATAAAAAAATGTATGGCTGATTGGGGCACACAGTGACTAAATGGTTAGCACTTCCACCTGGCATTACTAGGGTTGTTGGTTCAAATTCCAACCACGGCACTACCTGCCTGGAGTTTACATGTTCTCCCTGTGCCTGCGTGGGTTTCCTCCCACATTCCAAAGACATGCTGGTTGGTGAATCTAAATTTGCCCTAGTATGTGTATGTATGAACGTTTGAATGTAAGTTAGGGACATTAGATTGTATGCCCCTTGAGGGTTAGGGGCTGATGTGAATACACAATATATATGTAAAACGTTGTGTAAATTGACTGCGCTATATAAGCACCTGTAATAAATAAATCATTATACATTACTTTTGACTCATAGAAGAAGATTTACTAAAACTGGTGCAGGACAAGCTGAAGTTAGAATCTGATTGGTTACTATACACAGCTGCACCAGATTCTGTGTGCACCAGTTTTAGTATATCTCCCCATTGCCAATTACATAACTAAATTCACATTGAGCACCTCTTGTGCTCTGGTTAGCTTACATATGACCCCCTACAAAGTTTTACAACACATAACTGTAAAGCAATATCTTTTCAGTTCTTTTTCACATTTAAAACTGAAAACATTCTACATGTAAAAATCTCTAATGATGTAGACATCTAAAAAATGTCACCTGATGAAGCTGCAATGCCATTTCTATACTAATTAATTACCTTTTATTGACTTCAATTTTGATTCTAGAAGTTTCTCCTGTCAACCTGCATGGCTGCAGAGTGGTAATAGAGACACTGGCCCAGGGGAGAGGTTTAGTAAATCATGTTTACTCACCCAGGAAGGCCCACTACTTGGCATAAAAATGTAATATTTCTGTGGATGACACACAATGGCGCTGCTCTAAGTCGATGGGTTTCCAAAGTAGCCCCAGGCTATCAGAATAAACTGCAAGTGATTTTATATGCAAAGCCTTGGAATTTCTGTAACAGATCTATTCCACAACTTATTTGGACACCAGAAGTATAAATAAACTCCAGCCAAAAGATTCAACTAGAAGTATTTCTTAACAATGCAATAACTGTTTACTAATATTATTACAGGAGAAAAAAGAGCAACAAGAAAAGATTGAAAAGAAGCAGAGAAAGCTGCACGTGATCTTAAATGATGATCCCCCTCCTCCATGGAGTCCTCCGGGAAGAACTATCCCAGCAGGCAGATGACCGTGACCTCAATTCTCTCCATTTTACAAACCAAAATTTCAATATTTCTTAACCTTTCACAATAACCTGTGTGCTTTCCTGTTTTTGCTCTAAGCATTTTAACATAAGGGTGTGATATTGACTTGGTAATGTTACATATTCTGTCAACAGAAATTACAAGGCAAGCATACTCATGTCTTGTGCAGTAAAATACCACTTTCCTGTTCAGTGTAATCTAGGATTGGTAAACCTATGACTCTCCAGCAGTAGAGGTGATTGGTCTGTCAGCATTGGCATGTTCTTTTATTTCCTCAACAGTTGTATTAACAATATCAAAAGTGTATGCAGTCTTCCTACATGTCCTAAAGAATATTGTAATCAGGGACAGTTTTAAACTAGTAATCCATTTTTAAGGAAATTATGGGGATGCCCTTAGCCCTGGTTAGTGGTGCCTGCCCTGCATCTATCCAGTTTTATAATATTGCAGCACACCATTTAACTTTTATTAACTGTTTTACTGTATCTTCACAAAACGTCAACATATCACTTAGCTTATGCTACTTTGTTTTCATATTTCTCACAGAAGACCTAGAAACAGACAAGCACTTAAAGTGATTGTAAACCTTCATCTTGTAAAACAACCCATTTAGTTTAAAATAATCCCCTTCCAGTTCTGACTGGTCAGAATGGTATGTGCTCTACAGAGTGGGATCTGTCTCGCACCGATCTGCCTAGATAAGAAAGGTTTTCCCAGTGAATAGTCTTTAAAGGGACATTGCCAGTAAAAACGAACAGAACACTGATGTTGGCTATCAAAATGATAGGTCAGTGTTTTACAAAAAGCTGCCCTATTATGTTCACATTTGGAGTCTAACTTCAGGGTTGCCACTTTTACATATGGCACCTTAGCGATCTTTTTCCCTCGTTATTTTTATATTTCCTTCTCTTATGATAATTGAAACAACATCAGTCCCACTTTTCAGTAAAACAAAAAAGATACAATTGTCTACACTGCTCAAATAAATTAAAGGAACACTTTTTAATCAGAGTATAGCATCAAGTCAATTAAACTCCTGGGATATTGATCTGGTCAGTAAAGTAACAGAGGGGGTTGTTAATCAGTTTCAGCTGCTTTGGTGTTAATGAAATAAACAACAGGTGCACTAGATGAGCAACAATGAAATGACCCCCAAAACAGGAATGGTTTTACAAGTGGAGGCAACTGACATTAATTTCCCTACTCATTTTTTCTGACTGTTTTTCACTAGTTTTGCATTTGGCTAGGGTCAGTGTCACTACTGGACCCTACAGAGGTTGCACAGGCAGACCAACTCCTCCAGGATGGCACATCAATACGTGCCATTGCCAGATGGTTTTATCTGCTCCTTTGTGTAAGGAGGAACAGGATGAGCACTGCCAGAGCCCTACAAAATGACCTCCATCAGGCCACTGGTGTGAAAGATGAAAGCAGATTCACCCTGAGCACATGTGACAGACGTGAAAGGGTCTGGAGAAGCCGTGGAGAGTGTTATGCTGCCTGTAACATTGTTCAGCATGACCATTTTGGTGGTGGATCAGTTATGATCTGGGGAGGGATATCCATGGAGGGACACATAGAGTTCTACAGGCTAGACAATGGCACCCTGACTGCCTTTAGGTATCAGGATGAAATCTGTGGACCCATTGTCAGACCCTACGTTGATGCAGTGGATCCTGGGTTCCTCCTGATGCACGACAAAGCCTGGCCTCATGTGGCAAGAGTATGCACACAGTTCCTTCAGGAGGAAGGAATTGATACCATTGAATGGCCTCCACGCTCGCCTGACCTAAATCCAATAGAACACCTCTGCGATATCATTTTTTGGTCCATCCGACGCCGCCAGGTTGCACCTCAGACTGTCCAGGAGCTCAGTGATGCCCTGGTCCTTTTCTGTGAGGAAATACCCCAGGACACCATCCGTCGTCTCATTGTCAGGCATGCATACAAGCATATGAGTGACCATACAAACTACTGAGTACCATTTCGAGTTGCTGCAATGAAATTTCAGCAAAATGGACTAGCCTGCTGCATAATTTTTTTCACTTTGGTTTTCGGGGTGTCTTTGAATTCAGTCCTCTATAGGTTGATAATTTTTCATCAAACGATCGGGCATCCTTACGTTCCTAACACATTACCCAGTCCATATCAATATAAATATCCAGCATGATATTTTACCCCATTGAGATCTGATGTGTTTTCAAAGTGTTCCTTTAATTTTTTTGAGACCTATAGCGGTAAAGGAATAGGTGACACTGCTAGCTTAAGTGAGGTCGAGTGCAGCCTGACTAAACCATTTAAAATTAGACTACCTTTGTATCACTTTGATTACCTTAGATTATAGGGTTTAGTCATATTAGTTCAAAATAAATATATAAACACAGTTTTATTTAGTTATATGCATATTTTTTTAATAGAACTAGCATAAGTACTCAAAACTCTCTTATTATCCTCTATTGATCCTTTGCAGCAGCCTGATTGGGAGAGGGAGGGTCAGTGTCTTGATACAATATAAGGTCTATTGCTTACAAGGTAGATGCTAACAATATAGGATAGACCAGAGATGACTACTGCTCCTTCATTGTCCTGCAACAGGCTGGGTAACTGGTTCACTTTAGTCATTTTGTAATTAACATTATGGCACTGGATTGGTTTTCATTCCAATCCAGTGACAGAGCATCCAGTAATCGGGGCTATGAGGCACATATAACATTTCTTTTTTTTCTCTTAAAACTACAGCGCTTGGTTTCTGACTGGTCAGTAGTGGGGACATAAGGAGCATGCATGGTCATGAGTAAGCTTTAAGTTTCTTGAACCTTACAAAACATATACAGGAATTTTGGTGAAGCAATGAAGTATGAGAAAGGCAAGTACATCATTAATACTGTGCCTGAAATAAAGTAAATACCTTTGTCTAGAATAGACTAACTAAACGTTATTTTATGCAGTGCAGTTTGCAGAGAG